TTTGCCCTGGGCTCCATTGCCACAGCAGTGTAGGAGCCAAGAGGGTTTTCCAAAGCATGGCGAGAAACCGTAGCTGCTCCGGTGTCCGGCATCACAGCACAGCGGCTCCCCAGAGCTGGGCCACCCACACGCATGGGCACGTGCACACCCTGTCCCCGTCTTCAGGCACTTGGTGCTCAGCCAGGACTGGTCCCCGGGGCTCCGCTCAGGGCACCTCACGCAGGCACAGAGCCTCGACGGCGCTGCTGGGGCCCTGGGCCACCCCACCGATGATGAAGAGCAGGCTGGGCGCCGGGCAGCTGGAGCAGGAGCAGCGGCCAGTGGGCATGGGGGGCAGCGGCTCCCACTTCTTCCCGGAGAGGCTGCAACTGACAGGACAGCATCAGCCCCCCCACAGCCCTCCCCACACCCCATGCTCTGTCTTTCCCCCTTCACATGCATTTGATGCCCCAGCCGGAGCCCCCAGAGGCAGCCAGTCCCCAGGCCATGGGCTGTGGGGCCTCCGCAATCCCAGAGGCAATTATCAGGGGCACAAGAGAATTAGCGGCATGCCCACAGGGAGGGCTGCTGGCACCGATGCCACACTGCGGGCTCTGCCCCTGCACCAGCACCCCACTGCCATCACCAGGGAATAAGGGAGGGCAGCTCCAGACCCGGCAGGGCTTAGAAGCAACGCCACACCGCAGGGATTCAGTCAGCACCGCTCACCATCCCCATCACCTCCTCCTGCCCTGCAGCAGGAGGTTCGACTCACCCCGGGTGAGCTCGGCAGGTTCTGACAGCCCTCACTGCAGGGCTGGGGGTGCTGCAGCCGGCAGGCTCCCCGGCCGCCCCCCCCCCCACATCCCCACTGCTGAGTGACAGCACCAACCTTTCCCCAGCTCTCTTGGGAGAGGGATGTGGTGCTGCAGCCCTGCATGGCAAGGCTGAGTCGGAATGGGCTGTGCAAGCCCAGCATGCTGCACATGAGCTGGGGAAAGCCTGGCTGGGGTTGAAAGGGGCAAGAGGCTCAGTGGAGGCAGACTGTGGGGCAGGGCAGTTGGGTTCCCCCAGCACTCGGGGGGCACAGAAGGGACACGGTGAGCAGAGCTAAGGCCACGCGGCTGTGGAAGGTGTTGCAGTACCACCATAGTTTTGCACAGCCGACCTCCCCACCACCACACAGGTCACTGATGTGCCACAAAGGACTGGGACGGGAACATGCCTCCCCCCGGCATTACCGAGGCCACCCACGGCCACCACTCTTCCTCCCAAGCAGCCGGCCACAAAGTCAGCTCTCTTCTCCCTCATGCGGACGGCACGACTTGGCTTGCTCCACGCACCTGGGGGCAAGAGGGTGTGAGCATCGCCCTCCGGGGCTCCTCTCTGCACACCAAGGCCAGCACACCCCTGGGCTAATGGCTCCCCTGGGCCAGGGAGCACAGGGAAGGACTTGCCACGGGTGCAAGGGGCTGATGCTCACAGCCTGGATGATCTGCATCGCTCGGGCATGGACATCCCCCACCAAAACCCAGGGAGGCATCCCAGACCCAGAGGGAATGATCCCACCACACCCAAGGACACTTAGCTCACCCTGTGCAGGGTCAAACATCTCCACGGTGTTGACAAAGTGGGGACGGGAGTAGAAGTTGTGGGGCCCCGGCTGCTGCAGTCCCCCCAGGCTGAAGACAACGCCGTCGGCCATGGCGCAGGCGGCAAAGGCGCGGCGGCTGGGCACGCTGGGGTAGCGCGTCCAGCTCCTCGTCTCTAGGTCGAAGGCCTCGAAGGCAGTGACAGGCAGCTTGCCCTGCCGGCCCCCTGTGCACAGACCAGATGCTGTGGCTGGCGATGGCCCCAAACAACCA